CAAGATATCGATTAGCAAGTTGAGATTCCACAGATTCCAGAAATATAAGTATCATCACTGAGCGATCAGAACTCGGTATGGGAAACAAAGCCAGACATCACACAACGTAGCTTTAGGTAGCAAACACGGGACATTGTCTTACCTTTTGCTGTTTCTGATCAAAGGTTGTGTTCAATGGCATTACAACGATAAAAAAACGCTGTTAAAGGTTAATCCAATGTGTCTGTGTCACTTTGAAATGATTACTGATAATCCATCTTCATATTTATGTCAATAACGGAGATTTCATATTAGCTGCTACCAGAGTGTATGATAGCTTCCGGTTTTGGGTATTCTGGCTGCGCATCACTCTATTTACCAATGGGTAATGTTTAGATGGATTTTAGGAACTTCTCCTTGATTATATTGGCTCTAAAGGTTAAAAAGATATGTCAATCATCAAAATCGACCGAGGGGGGCCAGAGATATGGAAAATTTGTTCTAGGAATGTCATTTTCGAGCCTGAGGCCTGAAAAACAGGCTCGGGGCTCAACTGGTTAATAATTAACACATAAATGCTGTTCCTCAGCTAACCAATAGTGTAACCTTTATAATGTATACTTCCAATATAAAATAATGCTTGTAGAATATCCTTACAAAATGAAGTATCAGCTCTTTCATCATTTATTAAATATGATACATTGCCACAGTTCCTCTGTGACACCTTCCTGTCTGTGTTTTTTTTGTCTGCCATTTACAACTCACCTCTTCAATCTGGCTTTTAATGTGTGATTGTTTTTGTATTATTTGACTTAAACTATATATTTATTTGTTGTTCCTTTCTTTTGTTTTCACTATATCTGTAAAGCGTCTTTGAGCACCTGTAAAAGCGCTAACAAAATAAATCTATTATTATTATTATTATTTAGTTTGAGTTTTGTGTGCTTGGTGCAAGTTTCTTCTTCCCGTTTTCTTGTTTCCCTTCCGCCACTCTTGTCCTGTCTCACAACTCATCTGTGCAGAACCAGCAATCAGTACACCTGCCTATCAATAAAGACAACTCTTTACTTCTCAAACCCAGCTCCAATGGCAATTTGTCTTTGCTGCCAGAATACTTTATCCTACTACTAAACTTTTCAGTAAAACCAGACCATCTCTGCAATCCTACCTATGGTTATTTTTTAGACAATTCTCCCCAAGTATGTAGTTAGTCAGGTTTATATTATCCAGTGATTGAAGAAGTACATCATACTAATACAACTTTATTACAACTAAAAACCCTGCATTGAAAATGTTAGAAATATTATTGTGAAATGTCCCATTATGCTACTGAATGGTGCTTACCCATGTCATTTTATTTCATATAATTGGTAGTGTTTATAAATTAATGTGATCAAATATTATGTATAAGAAGTATAAAGTTGATCTAAATGACACTCTGCTTGTTCTGATCAGCTCTGCACATTAACACCAGTCAGATTAGAGATTACAAAGCAGCAAATGTAGTGTCCGTGACCCATAATCCTGGGTTTTAACCAAAGCCAACATTCACAGGAAACCATTAACTCTTTCACTGAATATGCTCAACACACCAGTGAGGAGCTGGCTCTGAACAGAGTCTACGCCCCTCCCTCACTCAGGATTAAACCAACCTGACCTGAGTTATTCTTTAGCTCTGCTCCTCAGTGAAAGGAGAAGAAGATTCCACCGGAGCTTTCCCTCTTTTCTTAAAGAATGATTCACGTCCCTATGACTAAAAATGTGTAACCAAGCTTGTTTTGATAAAGCATAATGACTTACCTGTCTGAGTTTAGTTATTAAAATCCCCGGAAACCAAGTACTGGCCACAGTTTTGTTATCTACTGTGAGACTTTTTCTCACAGCGGGTGCTCTTTGCTTCACTGCAGTGTTTTGGTGTAAATACCAAACTGCCAGATAAGCTGGGTAAACAAGGCCCTGTGCTCCCTACTCTGCTGACCTGCATTTAGATTGTAAGTGTATTTAGAAACCAAAGTGAGAGATAAATTGAAGTCTTAAATTATACCATAATTTACAAGATCATGCCATTATAATTGTCCGGTCTTTTCCACTTTATCCATGTTTTCGCTGTTGAAAAAAGTTAATTTGGACACTATGTCATTACAATGTCACTTTTTTTGTATTAAACAGTTCATTAAATTGAGTTAGTTTTCTTCTTTTGCAAAAGTGAGCTATGATGATCGCTAGAATGTTGCTTTTGAAGGTTACTGCTCATTAAGAAACACCTCAAATCAAATGAGATTGTTCACACAAGCAATGGAATTTTATTAAAAGGCAGCATATTTACTCTACCGTTATATCTGATTTCTCACTGTCCTGACTCCTGAGTGACACGGGAGTGAATCCTACCCCTATCAAGAAAAAACCTGTCTCCTCTTCCATAAGGGCTGAAGCTGACACAGATGATCACACACAGGTTTAAAGGTGACATTCATGGTGTCTAAAATATATTACATCCACTCCAAAATGTGGAACATGATCATTCAGAGTCAAACGGGCAATACAATTTGAAAACATATTCAAAAGGGTTTCAGAACAATATATTATGCAATACGAATAGTATGCATATGCCTGAAACTGTGACTGGTTTAAAGGGGACACATGTTTCTCATTGTCAGGGTCATACTTGTATTTTGGGACAATATTAGACCAATGTACTAGCTTTAATGTAAAAATACACAATATTTTTCTCATACTGTCTGTTTGAACATAGCTTTTTTCACCCTTTGCCTGAAACGCTCCATTTTAGCACCTGTCTCTTTAAGAACATCTCCCGGAAAATTCCCTAGTCGCGTCTGATTGCAAAAAATGTTATTTTGTGGAAATACTAAGATATCTCCCTTTTCAACAATGTTGTAATTTATTTTGAAACTATTTCAGTAAACAAAACTATGATATTTTCATATAAATCTTGGAAAGAGTGAATTAGCATATTTCCCATAATGTTGCTATGCTATTGCTATGCTCCACTAACATTCAAACATACATAAACAAACAATACAAACTAAGTGTCTTTAATAGAACATTTATTTATTTACAATTAAGGTCACTGACATGTAAAGTAGGCTATTTTACAATACAAGGAGGACGTGATACATACTGTGATGTACTTTCATGTCATGGGATGTTATGGCTAACATCATTTGATAATATGATCTTGTGTGAAATTGAATTGATAACGATTGATCATGACAAGGTCTTCTCTCCTGTTATCTCCACATAATTCCACTGATTCCTATCATGGAGATTGGAAATACAGGATGCCGTGTGGTGCAGGCTGCCTTTAAGGCTGGAAATAAGGAGAAATAAATGGCAATAAATTAAACATCTTTACTGAATATTAGCACAAAAAAAGAGAAATTCCTCACTGCATTTCACACATACAAAATCACTCACTGTGTTGGTTTGTTTTGCTGCAAAGACATTTCATCAGGTTCTGTTTTTCTTTGTGGTTTGTGGGGAAAAGTGGGCTGCGACACATCATTTTTCCATTGGTTGAAACTGCAATGAGAACAATGGTGGTCATCAACACAACAACTTAGGTGATAACCACTTATAATGCCCTTTGGCTGCTTTACCTGCAGACTACACCATTTATTTTGGCAGAAAAAAAACATCTTTAAATCCTATTGAAGACCCCAATACAATATCATAACAGCTGATTAGGAACTTTTTATTTGCTGGTTTTTCACAAATCTTTAACCAAAACGTACGATAGACACTCACCTCTGCACCTGCACTTGCGGATGTGAACTTTGGACACATGCAATCCTGCATGTGAAGCTGCACACAGTGGAAAAATAAATCACTTGTGTGAAACAATATTCCATTACCAAACAACCGTCTTCGGTCAGGATGAGATTATGAAGAAATAATTAACATCTCTGTGAATGTACCTGTGCTGCTGAAGTTATCCACCAGAATGATGAGCAGGAACGTAACACCTATGATCCTGGACATGATGGCAGTGTGTAGCTCCGACAAAGTGTTTCATTGTTCTAAAAACTCTCAATTATATATCAACCAGCTACCACGGAGGGCTGCTAACTTTGATCAGATCAGACTTGGCAGGCCTAGAAGAGGATTTTTGGTGGGGGGTAATCTCTCAACTGTGCATGGATTCATTCCTACAGTGTGAAGATAGTTTTTATTACACATTCCCCACATGCAGGTAGATGAACAAAAGCACAAACAATCAGTTAAACTTGTTCCTGAGACTCGTTTGGTGGTCATAGTGACAATCAAATGTACTAAAAATAAGCCTTGTGGACATTTGTAATAGTATTTAGCAGTGTCTTTACAAAATCATAATGTTTTGTTTTTTTAAATAGGCTTTTTAGGTTTTCCCTTTCCTGTGTTATATAGGTTTTTGTGCAAAGGCTTCAATCCCAAGGTTTCCTCCAGAGTTTTGGTATATTTGAAAGCGTTTGGATCTCCAATAAAAGTTTTAATAATGTTTGGCTGCACAGTGGAAGTTTGTAGTGACACTGGTACATTGGTTGGGTTTAAGGACTTGCTGGTATGGCTTGTACATGCTAAGTAATTTAAAAGTTAATTGCTTTTTAAATGTACATCATATTTACAAAAAGTCAAGCCAGAAGCATCAGAAAACTGTTATTATTAACTAGAGATGACCATTTGGGGGACAGGTCATGGTTATGTGATGCAGAGATTATTGGTAGGGGTGTAAGGTACGGGAAAACTCAAATCAATGTAGAAACAGACTTTGACAAAGATTTTAAGTCCATTTAAGAAACCGCAGTTGATGAGAAATTACTAACCAAGCAAATAATACAATCAATAAATCACTGAACAACGGAACCAGGTTGGACATGTTGGACTTCAGTTAGGTGAGTTAACTGCTACCTCTGATATAACACACTAATGGGATTACTGAGCAGCTCTGTCATTGGCTGGCGCCTGAGTCACTCTCTCTCACAACCGAAGGTGCGTAATTACGCACTGCACCCTGGAAACGTTGGCACACCTCCACCATGTTATCCGAAGAGTCAGCACTGTCGCTTATATCACCCGCGCGGCGTGACGTCCCCACGCCGCTATGAGTCAAGACACAATACGAGGAAATCCCCAAGGCAGAGCAAAGGGAGAGAGGCCCCTTTAAATCGACGCTTCCCCGGTATGCCAAGAGAGAGAGGGAGAGAGCTCTGATAAACAACAACAGTGTTCTCAGTCAGGAGCAGCTCTCACTGGATCCAGCTCATACTGCGGCCTCAGTTAACAAAAGGTGAGGTATTATCAACCATATTTACCAGTATTCCTAAAGGATTGTAGAGAGAGAGATGTTTATTTCAGATAGGGCGGAAAAGCCGTTTATTATAGCTCAAACAGTACACACGTTATTGTGCTGTTCTGCTAGTATACAGACCAGGGAGACATTTGCTACACATGTTAATTGTATAAGACTGGAAACATGTTAGAAAAACATCGTTTATTTCAGTATAAACAGCGCAGAAGTGTTGCGCACTTGTCCACAGCCGACCGCTCTCTGACGCATGAGAGCTATTTTTGACAAACGTATTTACTTTCTTTCACAGGCTACTTTCCCTCTGTCATTTCCAGCATTCTGTCGTGTGTCGTTCATACATTCATTGTTGAATGCCATTGCGGAAGTGAGAAGCCTTTTGACACGACACAAAGCCTGGGCAGTGTGGACATCTAGCGGCCAATCAGGAGAAGGCGCACCCCGGAGAGATGTACGGAGCTTCAGGGATCCCGGAGCTCATCCCCCCCAGCGGGCCGCCCCGGCAGCCGGGTCCGGCGGGCCAGTATAACCCGGGACACCCCCAGGTCAACGGGGATGGAGGGGGGGCCAACCCTCAAAGACTCGGGCAGAGGGCCCCCAAACTGGGCCAGATTGGTCGAACCAAGAAAGGTGTGTGACTGCTGCTTTGTCTGTTTGCATGGATCAGAAACATGACAGTGACACGCACAACAGCCACATATATAATAATAATAATACATTTAATTTATATAGCGCTTCTCATCTGCCAAGACAAATCTCGAAGCGCTTCACAGCAAAGGACACTACATCATTAATGTATAATGTATACATTCATTTATTATAATGACAGATCATAGATTAAATAGACCACAAAATACATCCAAACATGAGTGCACGAGAAGCAGTAAAGCACTGTAGGAATAATATAAGTATATCATTATGACGGCAAAAGGAGCTATAAACAGTATTAATAGGTAAACACTATATTATAACTATTGAATGCACTATAAAGGTAGTACAAACAGTATAACATGCACTATAGACATTATAAATATGACACACAATAGACCAGTATTGACATTTCCATATATAATATAATATAAATAAAGATAAGTATGCTATCGAAGATATAACCACTTTGGACAATTTTACAATAAAACATGACATGCAAAATAATGTTGCTTTTATATAGCACCTTTCAAAACAAGGTTTAAAGGTGGTATACCAATAATACAAAAAGAATGAACCTCACTCGACCCTCGTAATAAGAAAATATGGCACAAAGGTAAAACAGACATTCATTCAAATTAGTTTTCAGGAAGGTTGCAAGTTGAAGTCCAGATTAGGGAATGGTTAAATGTGTGTTCTTCTATGATCTGAGATTGCGCGCAGTAAGATTTAAATAGTATAAGTCAACAGCTGTATGCTGGGTCTATATGGTGCAAAAAAAAAATCGTTTTATCTTAAAATCAATCATGAAGTTCACTTGAGGCAAATTCAGGGAGGATATGAGGTTATGTGAGCTCTTTTGAAAAGCAAGACACAGACAAACAGTAAGAAAAGTAAAATGTCTTTACAAATCAGTACTTTTGTTATTACATAATAAGACCACACGGCAAAAACTAATTTGAAGTCTCTACAAAGAGGATATTTTTTCAGCTTAATCGTGAAACTAAAACACTCATTTGGTAAACAAGGGAGTACAATCAGTTTTTTTTAATAAGAGGCTTTATCATTATGATATTTATGAAAAAGAACAGTTGTGAATACAGATCTGCTTTTAACGTCACACTGTCCCCAAATTGTTGCTTGAGTATAAGAAGGGCTCGGAGCAGCAATCAAAATGTGTGTTAGTTTTGTGAGGGAAATTACCAAAAGAGAAATAAAAATTGTGATGCATATTATGGGATGTTGATGTGAACATTTCTCTAAATTGACAGAAAAAAGTATTCTTTTGCTTAGAGGCCCACATCCCTGACCTTTGCCTTTTCCTCCTCTTTAGTGGACATGGACGATGAAGACTTGGATGACATCATGAACAACAACGGCCAGTGCCCTGTATCGCCCATCTCCTAAACTTCACCAAGAAGTGCCATGTAAAACAAAATCTCTAAATCTCCCAGGACGCCAAATGTCAACGTGGGTGATGTTGGCCTTGATCCTGTCGTGTGTCCTCCTGAAGCCTCCGATTGGCTCAGACAAAAGGCACCAAAAAATGGCTGATTTAGCGGCAGCTGAAGCCTAGGCCCCTGATTGTACATAGTGTTTATTTAAGTCAGACTGTGAATGAATTGTATTGCATCGCTCTCTACTCTATACCTTGGCGGTAGATTATCAGGAACGGTTTTGGAGAAAGTGTCTATATTTTTCAGAGCTTCTTAAAAAGGGCTACATTTCTAAAGTTGCACTGAGTCTCGAAGAGAAGCGGCTTCTCACCTGCTTGTTTTCCGGTGAGATCGTCTGCGATTTGGTCGTGTGGCGGAACACTGTTAACGTGTCACACACAGGTGAAATGTTAAACTTTCGTTGTGCAAGGACTATCACTCTCACACTGATTCAAGTGGTGTCCTAATATCCGGTGGATGAAAGCTTGTATTTACAGGAAAGAGAAAAAAAACTACTGCTAATTATTTATTGTTTGGAAAAAAAATGGTTGTGTTGTTATGGCTTCTACATGTTTTTTACTCGTTCCTGAATAGAAATCGCTTCGGTCCTCTATTACTGAGATTTATTATGTTTTTTTCAAAATGGTGCACTTTTGTGGGAATGCCTGTTATGTGCAGTGACATGTTCTATGCATGGAGTCTGTTGAAAAAGCATCAACACTGGTATCCTCTTATTAAGGGCTATGTAGTTCAAACCACAGCGCTGTTATGCTCTTTAGATAACGCTGAGTCGACATTTTCCTAAGCTCGTTGTTTGCTGACTCGGCAGACAAAATATCTTAAACAACAATTATTTATGGAGGTTTTCTTCTTAAAGGCAGGGTTTTCGAGACATGTATAATTCTACTTATTTAAATTGCCAAATGATATTTATCAGATTGATTATCGAAAGGAATTGAGGAAACACTTACTTTGTATTCATATTTACAGCAGTACTCTGCTCGATGGCGTCAGTGTCTTACCGGTTCAGATGAACTTTACAATTACAGTATGAGATAATGAGAACACGCAGCACTCTATAGTTAGCGCTCTGAGACAATCTTAACTCTGATGTTTTTCGGGTTGTTTTTTTTAAAGATTGCAGTGGACTTTGAGATGAGATGTCTGTAGAGGCTCATGCTGATGTTACTTTGTTGGCTGTGAAATTGTTACTAGATCACTTTACTCTTTTGCCTCACTGCATTTCCCAGTCTCTGACTCTGAGATTATTGTCTGCAGTTGTGGCTTCTACCATTTGCATGGAAATGGTCAATTTTTCATAATGCATCTTTGGAAATAAAAGACAAATCTTTGTGGACTCTGTCGTTTTGATGCATTTGTTGCTAACTTAGCTGCTTTGTTTATTTCATGCAGTTATTTTAACCCAAACATAACGTTCACATAGGAAGACCTAGCATTTTCATTCCTAACTGGAAAAAATGTTTCACTCATTCAAATTGTGAATATTTGGTTCAATACTTGACACCGTAACCAAAATCCATACATGTGTAAAGGTTTTTTTACATGCTCTATTCCCTCTAAAATAATAGGACAATAGAAAATACATTTAGCTGCAGGTGAGATACATATTTAATGTGGGAAAATAAATTCTAGTGAGGCTCATGTAAAAACATGAATTGCCTTTTTTTTCATTGAGGATGACATCACTACAGTCATGCCGAGGCTGGACTTATTACGTAGCGCTTTTTTAAAGCTGAATATTACAGTTGTGTGAAGTTCTTAATGCAAATGATAGCCTAGATATTGAGTAGTAAACACACTTAAATACTGTATCCTCAAATAGCCTCTTCAAACATGTTTCACAAAATATCTCTGGTTCAACATTCATTTGTGTCTGATACAGAATAAAACTTCTTAAAATTACATAGTTTTCCTCATTTAAGAATTGGGACAAGGCACATATTTTAGTTTAGTTACTACAATCTCCCTATAAGTTGTCAATGTTTTCAAGTTGTTCACAGCACAAATAACTCTAATGTGAGGTATAAATATAGTATATTAATACTGGAATCTTTCCTCCTTCAGCAGATGTATCTGGAAATACCTCTTGTGTCAGTCTCAAGTCAGGCTCTAACATGCAAGTAAAGTAACAAAAAGCAAAACAATTGTTTTCACATCTAAGTAACTGTAAAATCATAAATTAAAAAGGTTTGGTGGAAAAGAAGGTTGTTTTCTTTTTGCTCTCTAATATTCTTTATTTCTATACAATCAATCACTATGACCAGCACACAATTAACAATGTTTCAATATGTTTATTATGTAAGTACTGTTGGACATAAAACATTTCTTTCACTCATTTCTCATTATCTGCTAAATGAGCCAAGTGTATAAAACTATGCCATATAAAAAACAGTCGACACTGTTCAGAGCTCAAAACATCACAATAGAAAAATGACTTTATAATATCCAAAAGCTAGAACTGGGCCACAGTGATCTACCTTTAGAAGAGCCAACACTTCATCCTACATTTGTCAAAATAAATAGAGGCAGTTTGTTCTCATAGTGGCTGATACGGAAGCTATTAGAGTAAAAACAGCACGGTGACTAGATAATAAAATATTTCATATGTGAGCAGGGTTTGTAGCGGACTGGTATGAAGAGGCCTGTAGTGAGTGTTGTAGTAAAAGGCCTGTGTGTGAAATCACACCCTGCTCATCATAATGTCTATTTTAAAACCATCAACAGTTAATATAAAACAATGTTTTGTCACCATGTGTCTCTGTTGTACGGAGCCCCTGAGTCGCAGCCTAGACACCAAACTGGAATTGATTACTTTCAATTACATGGCAAACGCTAAGAGACGCTGGTGCTAACACGGAGATGCTATCGTTGGCTACAATCCACTATTCAGGCTATAATTCAACAGGTTACACCCCAAGTGCCTGTCTATTAATCAGGGGGATCCAATTATAATGTGTTTGTGAAGGTCACTTGTAAACAATTGTGGAATGTGTCGACGGGGTGCGGGACATCATTCATGAAACAATTGAGTGCTGCGTCATAATCAAGGGGTTATCAAAGGTCAGCCTGATGAAAAAAAGAAAACAAAGTCAGTAATTCTTTGCCTCTCTGATTCACAACTTCCCGTACACCTTCGGTTTTCTTCGCTGGTGCTGCAGAAAAAGCAGGGAGGAGCTTCTTTGACAGCTTCTGTTGGAGTCCCGAGCTGTAGGGGTCGCTCTCACACATATTCTTTAGTGCTGCTCGGCGGACCGCTGCGGGAGCCGCCCATGGACGGGTACTTGGCCACTTGTTTTTTTCGAGGACAGGAAGCAGCCAACATGGCTCCGCCCAAAACGTCCAGCAGGGAGCCGCCCCAGGCGATGAAGATGGCCGCGCCAAACTCAAACCTGGGACACAAGAGAGGGTGTTACTAGTTATTCCACCAGTATGAGTTTGGATTTCCAATGACTTTGGCAAGGATTGGCAACATTTCTCCATTCCCAACATGTCTATTTCATCGGTTCAGTGTTAAAGGGGTTTTCTAAACCTTACAAACATTTAAACCTGCAATGGTGAAGGATGAACCTTGTTCTTTTTCCAACACGTTCTCACTCCCAACCCGTCACATATTGACGGTCGGTCAGGGCCCCTCCCCGTCACTCTATTACGGACAGGGTACCCCTTGAGCGTTGATAATAGACGCCATGAGAACGCTCCCCGACGGTCGGTTGTTATTGTCAATATTAATATAATAATTATTTATTTTTTAATAGTCACATTCGATTTCGCCGATTTTCTTGTTGCCCCAGCTGGTTGACACTTCTTTTAGCAGAAACAAAGGCTACATTAATGTATTAAATCCATGTTAATCCATGTGTGTGGTTGTGGAATTAATGGACGTGCCATTGTGCGATTGCGTTGTCACGCAATCATTTACAAACTCTTCAACTACAACCCTAATTATATTTCAAAACATTTTAGAAGGCCTCACGAAATATTTTAATGTAAATTTAAATTTAAATGTGAAGGGATGTGTGTAATGTGGTGATTGACATTATTCACCCACGGATCTATGGGTTGGGGTATTGTTCAGCACGGACATTTTAGTTAACCGGACTTCCTGTTGATGTGAAATCCGGAAAAAAAAAATTTTTTAAATAAAATAATACTTTATTCCAAGTTTGCTTGCTTTTCTCTTTGGAGGTCATCACATAACGGCATTGTAATACGGCAGTTCGGCCGCATTAAATATTACATATCTGCCGTAGTTCGCTATTTATAAAGCCCTGATGAGAAGACTTCTAGACAAACAGGAAGAACTGCCGCCGAAACTGAATATGTGACGTGGATCATAAATATATCAGCAATTAAACAAAATATTCTATTTCTCTTCACAATATAAGTCTTCTTGCAGTATCAATACTAATTCGGCTGACTTTTATATTTGATCCAATCGGTATATTTACACCATAACGGTGCAAAGCTGATAGAAAGGGACACCTGGTGGTTAAAGCACCTTATTGAAATGTATTATTTGTATTATTATATTAATAGGAGACACAGACAGACAAACTAATAAGGCTTTATTTAAACATTAAAGAATACTTTAGGTTAAGGTCTTATTTTGAATAAGAAAAAAGCTTTGGGGGTATAAATATTAAGCCTGACAAAGTACTAATATATTACTTTCCTGCAATGTTAACTACTGTATGTTTAAGCACTTATTTTAACTGATATTATACATATGTATTATACTCTTATAAGATGTATGTAGATAGTATAAGAAATGTGCAGAATACGACAGTTTAATGGTGGAGGTATACACACATATTGATAGATGTCTTGTAATGCACTGTTGAGGAACCTGCGACCCAAGTTTTTCATCTCCGATGTCAGGTATTGAACATTCAATAAGTAAAGAACACAGAATTATTCAATATAAAACACAGAATTTGTGTGATTATACTAAATGATTTACAAATAAACACCACTGCATATTTACAACTGTTACACATGCTGATGTAACGCAAATGTTTCCAACTTGGGATCAATAAAGTATATCTTATCTTAAGATGATCGATGGCTACTGCCATATTTGCTAAATGTGCCTCTGAACCTTGACAAGTGCATGTTTCAGGCTTATCAATGAACAACAGGAGGGGTCACAGACATAAGACCAGCTGTTAAATAAAGCTCTTCTGACCTTAGCTGGCATGTGTGTATTAATGCTGCCCATTATGGGCACAAGCCATTTTCACCCATTTATTAATTATATGTTTTAAATGTGAGTGTTTCCTATCCCCTAAACCTCCAGGGATGTACACAGTTTAATACTGGCAACTTCTTATTATGGGAAATATGAAAACGTCTTTTAAAACTACAATTCCCAGTAGAGACGTGCCATAGAACATGTTGCGAAACACATAATAGAGTGGCGAAGTCACGCCCATCTACGTCCATGGGACCTTATTTCGGAAAAATTATGTATTGAAGTCAATGGAGAGAGAAAATGTATCTTTCGATCCCGTTTGAATTGTGCCATGAATTACACATATGATGTTATAATGATGTTTGTCAATCTTAAATAATCATTTCCATGTCAAAAAAGTCACAGTTTGTCGTAAAACTGTTGAAATATAAGACTATGAAAAATACGCAACTAGAAAGACTACAAATCCCAGAGTCGCGTAAGTGATGTCATAACTGATGTCACAATTGTGTTCCCCCACTACATAAGAGATAGCTAAGATAAGATAACTTTAACAAGATGCCTGTGTGCTTGGTACCAGGTTATTATCATACCAGCAATGGGTCTTGCTCGTTCTTTCGCTTCCCGTCTGAAGAAAGGACCAGGAGTGGCTGGATAAAGTTAGCTACCTAGCTAGTAGCAAGCACGTTAGTTAGCATTACAGCCTTGTCATTTGTATTAGCCTTAACATGAAGTAACATTAAATAACCCAAAATGTTAAACAGTAAGAGTAGTAGTCATATTTCGTGAACCCTTTGAAGAGTACTGTCACACCGGTGTGATCATTCTATAATACACCATTTAAGCCCGGGGGAGAAATGCTAACGCTACATTAGCATCTGCGATCTTTTCTACTTAATGCTATCTGCACAAATGGTTGACATTAAACATTAAAAAGATCAGGCAGTTCAGAGAGAATCGAAGGAAGGCAGGCAGGCAGCTTTGCATGACATTCTTCAGGACGTGTTTCATTGTGGTGATAGTGTGGGTAGTCACTCTATTTGTAGTGACGGCCATCTTGGTGACATGTGTTGGTGTTGTGTTGTAGTACATTGAGCGTTTCAAAAAATGTTGTTACTTCACAGTTTTACGACACATTATTTTTTTTTTACTTGCAAATTTATCTTTTAAATTGACAAACATCATATGTGTAATTCGTGGCACAATTCAAACGGGATCGAAAGATAATCTTTCTCTCTCCATTGACGATCAATACAAACATTTTCCGAAATAAGGTCCCATGGAGGTCCACCGGAAGGGGAGGGACTTCACCACTCTATAGCCAGCATGTGTAGTTCTGGGAACGGGGTGGGGGACGGGGGGACCCGTTCAAATCCAGTTTTGGACAGTCTGCCGTGGTTTCATCCCATTTCAAAGTGCTGTTCGACGCTCGGCGTAACCCTTGGCGCACACTCAAACATCCAATCACAGAGCTTGAGGACGATCACAGGGTTTGTCAAGCGAAGCGGAGAGAATACTTACTTCCGGGTGTAAAATTCTCTAAAGCAACTATTATGAGCTGCTCCGACCCTCGGTCCTGACGGACTCCAACTTGTGTTTATTAATCAAACAAATAAATAAACACAAGGATAATTATGTGTTATTGTTGAGTAAATAACAGTGTGTGGTTTAGAAAATAATACAAAATTAGAAGGAAAAAACGATGAAACAATACAAATTTCAGTATTCTGAGCCCCTACTCTCAACCATAACTGACGGCAACAAAAGTCCTACATTATTCAATTAAAATAAAGAAGTAAAAACAATAAGTGTGGCTTGATATTGAGTAAGAAAAAGGTTGATAAACGCTGTGAGAATGGATCTGAGGAGAGCATTTCGCCGCGATCCCAACTCGTCTATTACCAACGTTCAGGGAGCTCTATGCAAGTCAATGGGACGCCCTGCCCGTTGAAAACTGACTCTCAAGGGGTACCCTGTCCGTATTAGAGTGACGGGGAGGGGCCCTGACCGACCGTCAACATGTGACGGGTTAGGAGTGAGAACCTGTTGTCTTTTTCTTAACGCAAGACTATTGTGGAAAATCAGCCAATGTGGCCACATGGGTAATTCAAAAAAATTTAATTTATTGATTATAAATAAAATGTCTGCATTTGAATGTTTACTTATTACAGTAGTATTGGCCGAATATACTAAAGTATCAACAACAGCCAACATTTCTAAAGACTAAATTACATTTTATAATGCTTCATTAAGTCACATCAACAATAGGTGTCAAATAAATATAATGATTTAAAAAGTGCAATACCTGCCTTTAAGCTGTATTGCCTTAGTGGTAACATATACCTAGAATGGACCTTAAAAATAATACTAAAAATAATTGTTCAACATTTTAGGAAACATGCCACATACCACTGTTTTATCGGTCAATTACATTTGAGTTAGCTTAGCATATTACAGGAAACAGTGACAAGAAATAGTCCAGCACATTACTGCAACACAACAATGTGTCATAGTTACTTAATTGTGGACAAGTAGATTAGATTATTTTTGGATGGAGCCAGGGTATTTGTTTCCCCCTGTTTCACTCATCATGCTATGCTAAACTATCTGTTTAGCCTGACGTTTCATATCTGAAGGGACTCAATTGTGTCTTTTTAACTTTTGTAAAGAATGGGATTAGCAATTATGTGATCATGTAAAACTAATGACAGTTCTTGGACACACTGTGATACTTACTTGGTGTTGACTGGAGTGTAGGGATTGTAGAAAGCCCGGATCACATTATGAGCGAACCAGGAGCACGCAACGATGGCACACAGCCCTGAGAGGACAGAAAGCCAACAACAAAGATCAATCAGTCCATCGACACAACATCAAACCCTGAGAGGGGAGACATGCTTTTATAGTCACCAGGCGGCGAGCTATTGACTCCAGCACAATTAGCCTTTAGTGTTTCTGTTCTCTTCGGAGCCCGTTAGACCTCTTATGTCAGAAACCGTACCAGGAGTAATGGACTTATTCATTCAGGGCTGCAGCACAGGAGTGGGAGGAAAGCTTTTTGGACAATGGATCACACTTCCTCCTACTTATTGTATGATGTGCTCTAGATCTAGCAAGGATGTGATAATGTATGGGCTCAGAACAGTCTCATAATACACACATGCACACAGAAGGATTCACACTTGTATTTCATGATCCGCAAAAGGATCCACACTTGTGTTTTTCAATGCACACTCAAATGTGTTCCGTTTCATATACATGTAAATAAAATCCAAATACAGAAAAAAGTTTTACATATGTATTTTTGATCCTCACATATTTGTTTTCTGTTTAAATACTTTGAACCTGCAAACACAAACCGCTTTCTGTGCACGGATCGCTGTGCATTCGTGTGTGAGTTTTTTGAGACGACCCCTGATGGTCAGCCGATTCGTACTTGTAATTTTTTCTATCTATAGCCAATCAGATGTCTCCTCAATTATAAGCCAATCACATGAGCGCACCCCCACGAGGGTAGATTTCTTGCGTTCATGACGCGCTTCATGTACACATTTTGCGCTGTCCGGAGCTGACAGGTCCATGGAGTCTGCCTGCAGGCGCTAATCTCAGGACACCTTGGCCCAATCCCAAATCACCCCCTGAGTCATTCTACAGAAAAGGCGGAATCAGGGTGATACAAATCTCCTGAAATATATTCCTTCTAAACACATCTAAAACCTGTTAAATAGCAATAACTAACTCTTAACTTGATGAATCCACAACAAGTAGAGCTTAAAATATTAGTATTATTTGTATTATTTGTATACATTATACAAAGCTTATTTATATAGGAACGTCACTGGTGTTACGTGTTACCAGGGAGAAGAGTAACACCAGTGACGGTAACACCAGTGACAATTTGGAGAAAACCAGTGGTGTAGTGGGCGTTGGACGCGTCCCACAAATTGAGTGACAGTCGCGCAGAAAGGCCGGATCGCCCCCCCCCCCCCATTGACAGTTCACGAGCGCGTCCATAGAGTCTCCCCCCGCCCCGTCCATCCAGTAAAAAAATCCCCACTACACCACTGGAGAAAACACTACCATTTTAACAAAATGGCTGCCATGTGTCAGACCAAATATGGCTTCAGTCAATATCAAAATCGTTTAACTCTTCAATACAATACATTTTCCCATTCAAATGTTCACCCCTGGGCTATGCAATGAGTAACACTAATGACAGACTTGAAAGACTCACATAACATTTGGAGATAAAATGACACCTTTAACAAACAAATTAAGAAGTATCTGACTTTCCTTATGTCTTTGTCCACTGCACTGCCTCAAATTATCTCTTGTTAAAGGAGGCATTCAGAGACAGTACATTACTTCAAAATAAAAGCGTTTTGTGTAGCAGTAACACCAATGACGTAATTTTGGGTGACTGACATTTATTGGATACTATTAATAATAATTTGCGTTTTTTTTACCATTTCAGTGTTATATTTAATGTATGTAATGTTATGTAAATTCATTATCGGCCGATATTCACTCTTAATAGTTTGATCGGTGCTCTCTATAAAGGCCGATCAGGAGAGCTGGATCTGATCGATATAGACATAAATGCGAGTGAAGTATAACCGGACGCGAGAGAGAGATCAGATCAGCTGCTGAGTCTGACCGAGACACGCAGCTCTGCATGATCACCTGATGCTCCGCCCTCTGTTTAGCGAGCTGACCGGACTGCGCAAAATGCGTACATGAAGCGCTAAATCATGAACGCAATAAATTATACCCTCGTGGGGGCGCGCTCATGTGATTGGCTTAGAATGAAGGAGACATCTGATTGGCTATAGATAGAACAAATTACAAGTACGAATCAGGTGACCGTCAGGGGAGTCTAAAAAAACCCACACACGAATGCACAGCGATCCATGCACAGAAAGCGGTTTGTGTTTGCAGGTGCAGCGGTTTTAAACGGAAAACAAATATGTGTGGATCAAAAATACATATGTAAAACTTTTTTCTGTATTTGGATTTTATTTACATGTATATGAAACGGAACACATTTGTGTGTGCATTGAAAAACACAAGTGTGAATCCTTTTGCGGATCATGAATTACAAGTTTGAATCCTTCTGTGTGCATGTGTGTATTATGAGACTGTTCTGAGCCCATAATAACGAGCTAAGCTTTGATGTAATATTATGAAACTGGTCATATTTTCCATACTACACTGAACAAAAATATAAATGCAACACTTTTGTTTTTGCTCCCATTTTTCATGAGATGAACTCAAAGATCTAAAACATTTTCTATATACACAAAATAACCATTTCTCTCAAATATTGTTCACAAATCTGAAAAAATCTGTGATAGTGAGCACTTCTCCTTTGCCGAGATAATCCATCCCACCTCACAGGTGTGGCATATCAAGATGCTGATTAGACAGTATGATTATTGCACAGGTGTGCCTTAGGCTGGCCACAATAAAAGGCCACTCTGAAACGTGCAGTTTTGCTTTATTGGGGGGGTCTGGGGGGGTCCGAAAACCAGTCAGTATCTGGTGTGACCACCATTTGCCTCACGCAGTGCAACACATCTCCTTCGCATAGAGTTGATCAGGTTGTTGATTGTGGCCTGTGGAATGTTGGTCCACTCCTCTTCAATGGCTGTGCCAAGTTGCTGGATATTGGCAGGAACTGGAACACGCTGTCGTATACGCCGGTGAGTATGCTGGCCATGCAAGAACTGGGATGTTTTCAGCCTCCAGGAATTGTGTACAGATCCTTGCAACATAGGGCCGTGCATTATCATGCTGCAACATGAGGTGATGGTTGTGGATGAATGGCACAACAATGGGCCTCAGGATCTCGTCACGGTATCTCTGTGCATTCACAATGCCATCAATAAAATGCACCTGTGTTCGTCGTCCATAACATACGCCTGCCCATACCATAACCCCACCACCACCATGGGCCACTCGATTCACAACATTGACATCAGAAAACCGCTCACCCATACGACGCCACACACGCTGTCTGCCATCTGCCCTGAACAGTGAAAACCGGGATTCATCCGTGAAGAGAACACCTCTCCAACGTGCCAGACGCCATCGAATGTGAGCATTTGCCCACTCAAGTCGGTTACGACGACGAACCGGAGTCAGGTCGAGACCCCGATGAGGACGACGAGCATGCAGATGAGCTTCCCTGAGACGGTTTCTGACAGTTTGTGCAGAAATTCTTTGGTCATGCAAACCGATTGTTGCAGCAGCTGTCCGAGTGGCTGGTCTCAGACGATCTTGGAGGTGAACATGCTGGATGTGGAGGTCCTGGGCTGGTGTGGTTACACGTGGTCTGCGGTTGTCAGGCCGGTTGGATGTACTGCCAAATTCTCTGAAACGCCTTTGGAGACGGCTTATGGTAGAGAAATGAACATTCAATTCACGGGCAACAGCTCTGGTGGACATTCCTGCTATCAGCATGCCAATTGCACGCTCCCTCAAAACTTGCGACATCTGTGGCATTGTGCTGTGTGATAAAACTGAACATTTTAGAGTGGCCTTTTATTGTGGCCAGCCTAAGGCACACCTGTGCAATAATCATGCTGTCTAATCAGCATCTTGATATGCCACACCTGTGAGGTGGGATGGATTATCTCGGCAAAGGAGAAGTGCTCACTATCACAGATTTTTTCAGATTTGTGAACAATATTTGAGAGAAATGGTTATTTTGTGTGTATAGAAAATGTTTTAGATCTTTGAATTCATCTCATGAAAAATGGGAGCAAAAACAAAAGTGTTGCATTTATATTTTTGTTCAGTGTAATAAATTAATGTGGATTAGTGTAGGTCCCAATTCCATAATGTACAGGCATGTAGAAACAAAAAGCAGAAACATGTAGACTGAAAAATGATATGGTCACCACACTTTTCTCATCACCATTCCAGCTGCTCATTTGTCAATATATTTGTTTTTACTTTACTAGCTGGAAGGTTTATACGTTATAAGCTTTGTAGCCACACTAGCAGTGCAGTCCTAGGGATTTCCCTATCAGATGGCCCACAAATGCTGTCCAAACTGAAGTATCACAACAAAGAGAGGATGGCTTAACAAAGTACTTAATTTTAGATTGCCTAATCTTGTAAAATGATCGTATCTTTCCTAAAGAATTTGGTGAACTTTATCATCAAGTTTAAATGTTTCATTTATTTTGTGGTATTGTGAGACGTTCCTAATGATACTTTACTTGAAGTCCCCCATTTTAGCATTTGAAAGCAGTGTATATATAGTTTGTTACAAGACATTTTGTAGTGTTTACTAGCCGCATTTGCTCTAAGTACCATACTACCGCCTCACCGACGGGATATCATGGACTCTAAGTCTAGTTTTAAGGTTGGCAGTGTTTCAGACCTACAGACAAAAAAATGACTGGTATAATGAAAGATTTGGAAAAAAATCACGTGATTAAGATGCTAAAGCCCAGTCACATAGTCTCAACTCAATTGCAAACATGTACGAGTTGGAGTGACATTTGTAGTCCCACACACAGCAGCAGTCCTCAGTGCTGGAACAACACCTTTATGTTGTTTTTCCTTTTAATTTTCACCCATCTGCATGTCATCAAACATCACTATGGCTTCCTCACCTCCCACCAGCAGGATGATGCCTCCTGTCATGGCGACGCGGGACTTTCGCAGTTTGTTGTTCCCTCCACAGGTGGTGCACTTCATTCCCATACAGGCCACACCCAGGCCTGCGATGGACACAATGATGCCAACTATCATCAGGGCACGAGTGGCCTGAAGTGAACCTGGGGCAGAGAGGAAAGGAAAAAAATATGAAGAATGAGAAAAGTACACAAAGACTGTGTTGGTTCCATTAGGGAAGGCAGTGGAGAGATGGCTTTTGGAGATCGTGGGAGTGCACTGTATCTTGAAAATACAGCATAAAAAGATCATATAAAGTCACAAACTGATAAATAATGAAGAATAAACAGACCTCAGCCTTTCAGAGAGGCTTTATGTGTGTGTCCAGGGGTTGTGAAATATGCTCACATTAGCCTGTCAGGACATTTGAATGTGAGCTGTTCCTGGAAGCGAAACCATGGGATACACATGGACGCACAAACAGAAAGAAAAAAACACATCCCACACTCTTTCTTCTCCCACTGTCTCTGCCCGTTTGTTGCCGTTTAATTAGAGGTGGAGGCCTGCTGAAACATTGCCGGACCCCTTATCTGTCAGTGCCCCTCCTCAGGCTATAAACCTATCACAGTGTGAGTCCCCCCTTTGTCTCTCCCCCTCGGTCCACCTAGAACCAGTCTGTGCCAGTCTAGGCCATCCCTGCCCAGCCCAAACAAACAAACCCCTCCACCAAGAGAGGGAGTAGAGGGACACGGGGGAGGAGGGTGCAGAGGAGAGGGGTAACTCTATGAAGTAGCGAGACATGGGGAACAATAGCCTGGATTATATAGTAAATGCAGATAGAGAGCAGGATGCACAGTATCCTGGATTGGAGCTAAAACACTGCTCTCATTATTGTCACTGCGCTGTCTGAGGAAGCTCTGTAGTGTCGACACAAATGTTGCACATCTGCTGCTATTCACTGAGAACAAGAGACGTGAAGACATTAGATTGGTTTTGATTACTTCGTACATACAGTACTCACTGCTCGTTACTGAAAGTTACCAAACATACCACTTTGTATGCCTACAATGACAGATAACAAGTTATATTTATATATCATCTTATCTCATTTTCATTTAACAGAGATTATATTAATAAAAAACACGTTTGTGTAATATTTGTTATTTAAGTTAAATTATATAAATATGTATTTTATATTGATTTCAATGTCCACTCCTACTCTATAATGGGATACATATTATTTGTTTAATACTTCAAGGTGGTAGAGGCTACTTTAGCTTTCTCAATTCTGTATAGCAAATGTATGTTGACATACTGTATTTAATGTCATATCAGCTGTACTAAGGAAAACATGATTTAAGAAAATTATGATCAACAGGTAATCCATTAGGCCACAGCCCACTAGAAAGATAGACTGTGTCTCTATTAACGTGTAATTTGGTAAAACTTTAAACTTTATTTAGCAGTCTGAAGAATGTCTTTTTCAAAAGGGCCTTTTCTAAACACTGTTGGACAATACTTGATGGAAAAAAGGTTAATATTGTTCTTTTAATAATATTGTAGTTCCAATCCCTTCCAAAACACATGTGCATATAGTACTATCACAGACTGATGGAAATAAGGACATTGGGGGGTCTGAGGCCCAATTCCTGACTAATCCAGCTCAGCATCAAGCTTGCTGTAGGCAGAGCACACAGTACAGTAGGTAGTGTGTGAATCACAAACACAAGATAATGTTTTGTATTGGATGCATCAGCAGAGAAATGATCAGTTTTAAATCAATATCATCTCAAAAGTAGTCCAGGATAATGGGTATTCAATTGTTGAAAACATCAACTTCCAGTTTTTGAATGAACTATGTTCTGAAGCTATTGTTAGTATGTGTATGTCATTGTAGAGTCCACTTTTTTATGAATAAGCAACAACTGTTGTGGCGTATTCATCATAGTTGGGAACAGAAGTGTCAACAAGGTTCTCAGTAACGCATCTCTTGGGATTACCTGGGAAAACGAGGTACGCAGTTACGCCTTTTATCACTTATATTTCCACAAAGGCACGGCCATAGTGACAACGTATAATCTTTAGGTTATATATGCTCATGCAAACACCTGCAAAGAGATGGATCACAGAATTAGCTCTTGAATTTGGATAACTACAGTGTTTGTGTCTGTTGAAGTGAGTCCTATGGCTGGAGGTGAGGTGGGTGGGTTTCCCAGAATGAGACAATGTGTGGGTGAGGATTAGAAGGAATGCTTTTAAATCTTTCCCTTGTGACTTCTCCTAAGGAATCGGTCACTTGCGAAAGAGACAATGTCCCCCTGTAGTGACAGATCACAGTGGACTGTTACTGCTGATAATAGTGTGGTTAGTAATGATGGAGTGATGAGGAGGAGGTACCCTGAGGTGGGGAACTTAATCAGAGATAACAGTGTGCTCCATTGAGGTCTCACTCAGGTGTTTCACCAGGTGTGTCTCCAGGTGTGTCTCCAGGTGGGTTTCCATGAATAAGTCACTATGGGAAAATCAATCCAACCTGTTGCTTTAAAACCAGTGATTGACATGTCATCATCAGAGGTGGAAAAAGTACTCCGATGTTATACTGAAGTAAAAGTAGAAGTAGGCTACAAGAGGGCCAAACATTCTCTGTTCAAGTCCTACAATCAAAATGGTTACTCAAGTACAAAAGTATTGGCATCAAAATAGACTTAAGTACCGAAAGTAAAAGTACATGTTATGCATATAATATATTTTATGTTTTGTAATGATTGATCATTAAAGTGTTCTCAAAGATGGTAAAGGTGCAGCTAGTTTTAATGACTTTGTATACTGCAGGGTAGCTTGTCGATTTACTCCAGGTGGAACTAAAGTCTGATTTAAGAGTTTATTATATTTAACATAATTGAACCAAATCTGCAACCAAATGTATTACATAAATGTAGTGGATTGAAATAACACTGTTTACCCTCTGAATTGTAGTGGGGTACCGTAAGATAGATCCAAAAAGTTGAAATACTCAAGTACCTCAAAATTGTACTTCTGTACAGTTCTTGATTAAATCTACTTAGTTACTTTACACCACTGGACATTATCGACTACTCCACAATCACGCTACTTACTGTCGAGCTGCAGAATGGAGTCGTAGATCTTACACTGGAGCTGTCCGGTACTTTGGAACGCGCAGGACATCCACAGTCCCTGATACATGGCCACGGCTGTGATGATGTTGTCCCCGATGTACGCAGACATCTTCCACTGCGGCAGGATAGTCCCGATGATCAGTCCAGAAATGCCAACTAAAGACATGAAAAACCCCAACAGCTGAATACCGGAGTTTGCCATGGTTTGCAAACAAAGTGTCCTTCTCTAAAATTAACTTAAATGACGCAGGATCCCTCTCCTGCACTAAAGCTCCGGAAAAGTGTCTCGCAAAACGCAGCTGGTTTACAGTCCAGAGTTGGGGGTCTTCAATCGGGGATGGGCACTCGAGATGTGGGTGATGGTGTAAAGTGGGTGTGTTGTTATCATGCCTGCTGATGCATGGAGACGCAATGTTCTGTGGTCTGCTGGGAAATGTCCCCTCCGCTTCCAGCAAAGCAACAGGATGTCTATGCACTCAGCACTTCAACACTTTCTAACCATTTCAAAATGCTTCAGACGCTTCGTCATAACATGTAACTGCGTATCAAATATATACCTATTACTGTTAATATGTATTTCTGAAACATGTATATTTGCTAAATATTTACCCAATTTACGCATCATGTCATATGAACAGTGTTGGAAGATGTACCCGGATCCTTTATTTAAAGGTCCCATGTCATGGCCATTTCTACTGATCATAATTCCATGTTTGAGGTCTACTAAAATAGATTTGCATTGTGCAATTTTCCAAACTCACATTGGTTTCTCATACAGCATCTCTGTATAGTATGTGTTTTCACTCTCTGTCCTAAACGGCTTGTTGGAGCTCTTCTGTCTGGATCTTTTTTACGTTAAAAGTCGCCATGTTGCTACTTACTAATATTTTACAATATATGTTTTCCAGTAGTTGCCAAATACCAAGACACAATAACAAGCGTTGTTGATACCAGTGGTCGGGCTTTTGGCACTGCAGTGTTTTTGACTTCACACTGAGGCTGAACAATAGTAGCTACAGCAATGGGAGAGGAAGTAATAACCCATAAACCTGCAGGAAGTAATCCCACTGCAGGTTAATGGAAATGTGCTCACCTACTGGCTGGATTACCAATTTCAAATGTAATGAGTCCTTGCTGTTATTCCTGTTTTCCTCACTTCTTTAATTTTCTCACATTCTTGCCCCCCCCCCACCTTCACCCACATTGTCTCCCAATATAACTCTTTCCCTTATACTGTATCCAGGCCGGGGTAATAGGCCTCAAGTCATAGCTTTTGTGGCCAAACAAATGCCTCATTGTTGCCGGGGAAGAAGAACCCCGTAGCTCAAGGAATCACTTTGATATAGAGGAGGAGGAGGAAGAAGAGGAGGCGGGGGTGTTCTGGGTGATGGAAAGAGTTGAGAAAGATGAAAGAAAAAAGTAAAGAAAAACATTTAAAAAGGTACGAAAAGATGAGCTTGGTAAGCTGTGCAACAGGAAGAATATCAAGGGCCAGTTCCAGTCCTACCAATGCTGTTGCTATGGGTTACCTGATTTATCTGATGTCCTCTTGGCTGCTTCTTCCACGAAGGACCTAGGTAGCAAAGAACAAAAAAGAAGAACATTGCTCTTTCCCCCCCTTTCCATTTTACTACTTTCCCTTTTTCACATTTGTCTTGCTTGCTGTTGCTCAATGGAAACTGAAAAAGAAAATACCTAAATCAGCCCGAAGAAGGTCACTAACAACATTCTCTAGGGGGGCCTGTCCCTCCCATTCCTGAGGCCTCCTCTGGGTCTGAAGTGAGCAAGTGGAGTGCAAGTCCAATGATTGAGGTCCTTTAAGTGCCCTTGGAAGTCACTGAGGCATTAGCAATAAAACACACCGGGCCCGCTGCTTTTCCCTGAAAGGCTCCCGAGTGCACAAATGAGGGGGATGGCGCCCCTCGCTACATGTCCCACGTCTTTATCACCTTCAGTCTTCTTATGCAACTAGACTCAGTAGCAGGACGGGGCCAATAGATTGTGTTCTCGGTGTTGTAGACTCTCTTCTCCTCAGAGGTTTGGCAAGTGCTACATGCAGGGTGGAGACATATTTGGACACAATGGATACAATCACAGGCTCTGTGGCTTTGTGCTGCACCTCAGTGAGCGTGAACATGACTACAGTGTCGCTGGAATGCACTTTACTGTAAGACTAAGTTAATAACACAGTACGCTGCTTCAATTGTGCTGAGTCCAGATTTACCCAGTTTCGGTCAGTCTAGCGTTGATGCAATATCAGGTGTTGACCGGTTATTTTTTATTTCACTATTGGATTTACAAACTTTAAATGGGAAGGTGAGATTGGGGCTCAGATTAAAAGAAAAGGGCTTATAAAATAGGCTTCATTGAAGTCGATACAATAAAAAAACAATGGCTTTTTAAACACCTATTGCCTGGGGATTGACTGGAAACTCATTTTGGAGAGTCAAGACAGTATTGCCTCAGTACATGATTCATTCCGTACAGCAACATTGTTAAACTCAAAGAGTCTACAATCATCTGACCAAATCACAGTCTCTTCAAACAGTCACAAGAATACATGAGAAATTGTATCTGAGGCCTCAAAACACGTATAGTTTCCCTCACTGTGTCAGAAATGCTGGATTTGAGTCCGATAGCGTGTAATTTCTTCAAGATCCAACTTCCTGTAAAGCCCTTCAAAATGTTTGCATACTTATAAAAATAGATCTCGTTACACAGCATGTCAATAAAGGAAAGTTCCTTCATGATTTCTGAACACTACTTCTTCTAATACTAAAGTTAAGGTAGTATACTAACACTGCCTAACTCAAAGTTATTCACCAACAAAACATAGTTTGTTTTCTTTTATCTTTACATATGTTGTGTCTCGTCAAATGTGTTAGTTATATTTATGTATGTTGTCTGTCATTTCCTGTTTTATTTTGTATTCACCTCTTGTCTTTCATTTCAGGCCCTGTTTCTTCCTCCCCCTGTGTGTTTTTCCCGCCATCATCAGTGTCTGCCCCGCCCCTGATTGTTTCCACCTGTTCCCACTCACCTCATGTTTAAATAGTCCTGTCTCTCCCCTGTCCTGTGTCAGTTCGTCTTGTTTGTTTCCCCGAATGGTTGTGCCATGCCTCGGCTCAGAAAGGATCGCTTTCACTCATGTCAGGTTTTGTTTCTTTTGTTAATTTTGTAGGCTTAAGTTTTTCTTTTTAAGTTCTCTTTTTGTTATGCCTTGTTTTTTCTTCCTTGTGAGCGCCTTTTGTTATTTCCAGTACCTACTCTGTTAAGAGGGATTACCTGATCTGTGAAATTAAAATTACATTTTTTTACATTCAAGTCTCTGGGTCGTGCATTTGGGTTCATCAGTTTGTGTCGAGATCCTGACAACATATTTATAAAGCCAATGTTGGAAAGGGTATATCAGTGAGCATAAGGGATAACACCTTTATCCAGAGACCATCCTCCTAACAATAACTGTAGAAATACATTGCCTGTTCATAAAAAAAGTTCACCATTGATGGAAAGACCTGGTCATTCAGTATATTTAGGTAGTCAGCTGACCTCACTCTTTGGGAAAATAAAGTTGCTGAACCTATAGATCTGACCAACTGCAGCAACCCCAGATCATAACACAATAGGCTTGTACGGTAGGCACTAGGCATGATGGGTACATCACTTAATCCGCCTCTCTTCTTACCCTGATGCGTCTGGAACTAGGTACTGTACATCTTGATTAATTGATTTGGTTTTAATAATGCGTTGGCCAGTTCTTAACCCTCCTTAGTTGTTATCTCTACTTGATGCAGGCCAATCATTTGACCCTTCTGAAACTGATTGATGTCTTCAGACATGGCTGTTTAAGAAATGATAAGCTAGTCACCACATCAGCTATAGGGTTTAATAACTTGTTGCCAGCTGAAACATAGCAATCACTGCAGTAATTATCCAATGGAAGGCTCTAAAAGATTTGCTTAGTTAAATCCAGTTGGTGACTTTTTATTTGGACGGGCAGCTAGTGTATGTACATTTTGAGTCCCTTTGAACTGCAGTGTTCTAAATGAACACCATGTTACTGCCCTCTACTGCCCACAGGCAAACATAACAATCACTGTGTAAGTACAGAAGGAACAGACAATGTCACTTTTGAGACAAATGTATTTAAAAACTCAACTAACCGATACCACAATGTGTTAAATACATCATTTAGACAAAAAAAAGAATGAAAAACCATTGAGTGTCACTACAAATACATCTACATGGAATCCTTAATCATGTCGGGTACTTTAAATATGACACAAATATGACATTTTCAGGCAGACATCATAAATATGGAATCGGTATTAATGGAAAGTCAGGTCTCAGAAATCACCAATAAGAAGAGGTGACATCCGAAAAATGTATCAAACTTGTGTTTTTGGCTTCTATGGGAAGGGGTTGTCGGGGGTGTAGTTAAAACTGGCGTCCAAGAACATGGCCAAGGTGCCCAGCGTGGTGATGATGACAAACAGCCAGAAGAAGAGGCGGTCCGCCACGAGGGCGATGTACTGCCAGTCTCCTGTCATCTGCAGGGAACACAGACTTCCTGTAAGCAGTGACTCAGCAAATACTGTGTGTATGCAATGACACAGTCAGTGTGTGTGGGACGCTGTGTGACCTGGAGCTGCAGATAGACTGAATAACAAGCTGCCTGACAGAGTGTGTTGCTCTCACCGTGTCGTCCGTGTCCTGCTTCTTCAGCTGCTCGGCCATGTATGTCACCGCAGCGATGGCTGACTTCAGGTGGGGGGGGAGGATCAGACAAAAGCTGTCAGTGTTCGGGAGCCGCTGGAGCTGCACTGGGCTCTCAGACCTGAGAAACAAGCGGGGAAAGTAGGGAAAGAATATGCATTGAAATTAAGACATTTAGTCTTGGTCAAACTCTTTTCAAATCTAGCTAAGATTCCAAGATGGTTTCCATACTTGTGTTTCCTGTTATGTTTACATACACTGTTAAAGCATTGTCTCTCTTTACAATACTTCTAATAATGGTTTACAATGGTTTCTATGCAATGATTTAGATTTTCACTTTTGCCACAAGCCATGCCACTGACCAAAAGTTGATACTTATTTTTTTTTTTTCTATGCTTTTAATTTGTAGTTTTTAACAGTACAATTAAGATTCATATATTAGATCATTTTATATTTGAGCTTTTATGATTATTATATACAAATGAAAAATAGTAGAAATAGTGATTATTTCTCTGCCAGTGGATGCAAGAATCCGCTTCAAGACACTGGTGCTGGCCTACCGAGCTGTGAGGGATCAGCCCCTTCCTTCATCCAGGCCTTGGTTACACCATATACTCCATCACATGCATACGTTCAGCGTCAGCCAACCGGCTCGCTACTCCATCACTGTGATTG